TGCGCTCCTGGGAGGCGTTGGTGACGACGCGCGTGTTCCCTGGGACGGGCAGGAACTAGGTACCGCGGCCCCAGCTCCCGGGGGTCACCCGTGGGCCTAGGCTCCGGTCGGGGAAGTCGAGGCAGGGTGGGGGGTGTCTGCATCCCCATCACTCCTGGGTTCAGCCCCCCACTGGCCCGAGGCGCAGGGAAGGGGGAGAGGACTCGGGTGGGAGGCAGGGTTTCCGGTTCCCCACCCCCGGCCTGACTTCTGCAAACGTGTGCCATTTGTTTGTGTTTGCACCCCCTGTAGCTTCCCCGACACCCCCTCCTCCCACCCACCGTGCATTTTCCTCGGAGAACTTGTTACAACTCTTCGGAACGATTGGAAGCCTCGGGCCTTGCCAGGCTTTAGGTGGAAATCGTTGTCTTCTGGCTGGCCCGTCCTCCCTTTTATCTATTTATTAAATATGTTTTTATTGATTTCAGAGAGGAAGGGAGAGGGAGAGAAACATCCATGATGAGAGAGAATCATGGATCGGCTGCCTCCTGCACCCCCACACTGGGGATGGGTCCCGCAACCCCGGCCTGCGCCCTGATGGGGAATTGAACTGTGACCTCCTGGTTCATAGGTTGATGTTCAACCACGAGCCAGGCGGGCCAGGCCAGTCCTCCCTTTTAAATAGGGACAGAGGGACCACCCACCCCGTCACACACACGCACACGGGCTATTCCACCGTCACCCTCTTCACAGCCCCCCACACGGCGGGCGGAGCCGACCTCAAACCCCAGGGCTGCTGCTGAGGCCAGAGCTGCACCTGACTCCCAGGTAATTGCACTTGAAGGTGAAGGAGGCGAAGAAATGGCCAAAGGAATTGGGTTTGTGCCTCGGCAAGTCCAACAGACGGCCTGTCCTGGGAAGATGCCAGTCTGCAGGCCTCCCGGGACTTTGCTCTGGATTTTGGCCCCTTGGCCACTGTGCCTGAGGCCGCAGAGCACGTGCCCGCAGGGGGTCTGGCGGCGGCCTGGCCACGCGTGGAGGGCCCAGACCAGCAGCCGTGACTCACCCTCCTTGCCCTGCTGATAAAGGGCTTGGAGAGATTGATTGTGTTTTCAATAGCGATCATTACACAGAGAATAACAGCTCTGGGCCACTTCAGAAAAACAACCCC